CTTATCATTCTTATCATATCAATGTGAAACGAACATAGTGGCAGGTTTTTCATCCTTTTCACCTATATCAGTTCATCTTTTCCGTATATTTATATCTATAATGGATGAATCTCTTAATTATTTGTCACAATGTCAACTAATATAATCCTTTTTTCATCTATTCTTATCTAACCTATAAATCTAATTTTTACTTTTGGGTTTTATTTCAGAAGGAAAAAAAAAAGGTAAAGCATTAAAATAATGTTAAGTTTTTGGAATCGATTTATAATTTATCACATTTAAAGAGCAACAAAATTAGTTGGGAATATATTTGAGAAATTTAAAATAAAGTAAGAATAGATGGTTTGATGGAATGAAAAGTATTTTTAGAAATTGAAATAATTTTGAATATTATCGACTACGCTAGATGAAGAAGAAACTGAGCTTAAAGATGCTTTAAAATAGAATTTACCTGACAATTTAATTAAGTAAATTAAGTATAATTTAAGTATTTGACATATAGTTTAAATTCTTTTAAATTATAATTGAATTTTTTAAAAATGACAAAATTTCATTCAATGATTGCATTATTTTATTGATTTCGCATATACCTTTATGCAAATTCAAATTATTAACGATAATTTCAAACCCTAAGTTAATCTAATTGTTAATTAAAATTTGCTAGTTTTTGCTAAAATTTTTCATTAATCTTTGTCATATTTATTCGCCACCTGTTTTTTTCACCAGTTTAAAATTACAAATAATTTAAATGTTATTAAATTGAATGTAGAATTTCCTACGAGAGTTCAGCATCAATGTAAATCATAAATTTACAATCTGTCATATACAAATTTGAAAATTTTTAAGTACAAAACAACTACACTGTGGATAAAATGGAAAGGTAAAATTAATTTAAAAAAAAAAAAATAGAAGCAAAATATTTCTTTTATTAGCATTGATCGATTAAAGTTTTCCATTTTTAAATTTTTTTTCTTTGAAAGGACGAAGAGAGAAAATGTTGAAAAAGAGGCTTACAATTACTTTAACAATAGAAATTCAGTAGAAGAGAAGAGAGAATTGAAGAAAGGAATAATTAGATAATTCAGTTTTCATCCGAAATTTGTTTATTTATTTATTTCGCTTTGGTCAGTGCTTTTTTTTTTTTCTTTTTCTTCTCATTTAAATTTCAAATCTGTTCCCATTTATATTGCCAACAGAGTTATTTGCCTCAAAAAAAAAATAAATAAATATGCAAACATTTCGATGCATTCATATAAATGCACAAAAAAAAAAAAAGGAAAAATTATATTGGAACGGTTTTTTTTTTTATATTTCGGAACAATATTCGACGGAATTTGTTCAAAATTTATTTTCTATTTAATTTTGTTTCACTTTTTTTTTTCTCTCTTTTTCTACTTATTTCTTAATTATTATCTTTTGATTATTGTTTTTTTTTAAATGATTAAATGCATAATTTATCGATTTGTTTTTTTTAGAATCAATAATTGTTTTCCTCTGATCAGTACTTTAATTTTGCAATTAGTTTATTTTATGTTTATTGTTTACATATGTTTGTTGTTGTCACTGTCATTTAATGAATTACACTAAAAATCAAAATTTGTCATAAATTGTCATTCTAAGCGAGCTAAGAAGTGTATCAGTATTTTTATGTTAATTTTAAGAATTATTATTTTATATAAAAGTTTATTGGATAATTTGAAATTAACAAGCAGTGGAATTAGTATAAGTTAATTGTAATTAATATAATTTGATTGCTTGGTTTTTTTTTATTCAGTAAAATATTTGAATTAATTATTACTTATTTGTACAATGTATTTAACTTAATAACTAATATTTCAATAAAACAATTCAAACATTTTAGTCAAATTCTAATTTTTTCTTTCATAAATTTTATCTAAACAATTGCAAATGATAAACAAATAAATTCAAAAAAAAAAAGAAAAAACGAAATAAATTAATCAAATTGCTCATTAGCCTAGAGATTTTCTAAATTTCATTAGTTTTTTCCTTTTACCTTTTACTTTTATTATCAATAAATTTTAATATTTGAATAAATAAAAGACTGATGAATAATAATTTTATTTATATGAATAATAAATCTTTATTTTTTTTTCGTTAGTAAAAAGAAGAAAAAAGAGGAAAAAATCTTTTTATTTGATATTTCTGATTATGTCAAAAAATATTAATCAAAAAATTTTGTTTTCTTAATATTAAAAATTATTTGCTTATTTCATCTGCTCCTTTTCACAAACAAATGATAATATTATTTCATTGTTATTTTCGAATTATTTCAATCCATTTATTTAGAATTTTTTTAAATGAGAAAAAAAAAAAGGAAAGGAAAACATATTTGTAGTGTCATCCTATTGTCAACGTATGTTTGTATAACTGCTTTTGTTCATATCGTATAAATTGGAAAAAGAAAAACCTTTTTTTTTTTTTCTTTCTTCCTTTTTTTAATATTTTAATTTTATTGAAATCTTTTTTTATTTCCATTAAATACTTATTTTCAACTATTTCTTTTTATTTATTCGCTTTATGTATATAGCAGAAAGGTAATTTTATGTAAATATTTTCAAAAAAAAAAATCACAATAAGCTTAATTTAATTCCAATTAAATTAAACTTTCTTTTTGTGATGAAAAGTTAATTTAAACGTATTAATAAAATATAAAATTCACAGTGATCAAATGACATGCAATGATATGATAATGATAATGATAATGATTCATGGCTTTAGTTTCAGTAATGTCAGTTTTTTTTTTTTTTTTTTAATTTCAAATGATTAATTAACATTTCATTTTTAGCTAATAATTCTTATTCCGTTTTCATTATGTTTGACTTATTCAACAAAGTTAAATTGTTGAAATTGCAGTTGACCGATTGGATTGATTGATTGATTGATTGATATGATCGGATTGGAGAGAAATCAATGAAACTATTGGCAGATTTGTTTAGTTGAAAATAACTATTTTGCAGTTATGCTCATTCAAAAGAAAACTTTAAATGAAAAGTTGAATTTATGATTTAAAGAAGAAATTAAAATCTAATTAATAAATACACTTCGTTCATTTATCAGTTGCAGATAAAATAAAATTAGTATAAACAAAAGAAAACGTTCTCATCTTATCTTTTCAGTTCAGTCAAAAATTTCATTGTTAATATGAAAAGTATTTGCTATATATATGTTTTTAATTATTTGATTTTTAAATTTATAATACTAATCGCTCAGTTCTGTAAAATTCTTCTATAAAAGCAATTTTTGCAAAATTTATTGAAATGTTAAGTTGAAATAGTCGTAAAAGTATTGTCCCATCAAATAATTTGTGTTATGCAAACTTATTTTAAATGGACCAAACCGATTTCTATTTTATCATTGTTATAATTTATTTACTTTGTAATATAATTGCATATCCTACAATATTATCCATTATTTCAGTTTTATATGAAATGCAAATTGATAAAATTTAAAATTTGCAATTTATAATTGCGTTTTAAAATTTCAAAAATATGAATGTTTGATATTTCAACAAATTTTTCAAATTTTTTAATTTAAGGATTGTATTGGAATTCTCTCTTATTATTACTTTTGTCATTGCTTTGCTAAAATCATTTACTATCTTAGACTTAATTTAACTAATTTAAGTTTTAAGACAGAGTGATATTCTAACTTTAATGATAATAGATAAGAAATTAATCACCAAATGATTAATTGATATTTCAATAATTTGTAAATTTATCGAAAAATGAGCCAAAACCGATTTGTTTACATAAAAATATATTCTGTATTCTGAGCAATGATCGAAATTTCAAAAAGTAACGCTACATTTTACTTTCCAAAATCATTTTTTAATATTTTATTTTAAATTCCTTAACAAAATAACAAAAATATTAGTATGTATATTTAATAAAAAGAATTCAAATAATACTTTACTGATTCTTTGATTTATTTTCCATCTAAAAAAAAAATCATCTGTGAATCTAAACTTTTCTTTTTTGAACAGATTATAATAGCTAACCAAATTTTATTTCTTATTATCTAAAATTTGTATTGAATAAAATTATTCACAAAATTTGTTAATTTATTTCAAAAAAAAAAAAACAATTCAGAATGGTTAACTATCATTAGTTGTGGTCAGTAACATATGTAAGCAATTTTTTCTAAACTTTAAAGATCTCATATCATCTATAAAGAGTCTATTGAAATTGTCAACTAATTCACTCTCTAAATGAAATAAAAAGTTGTTTATTATTTTATTCGAGAAATAATAATTGAAAAATTATTAATAAGTTTCAGTTAAATAAATCAATCAATTGTACATCTATTGCTACTAGTAAATAAATATTATGTTTGCATATTATAGCTCATTAATTTCCGCATTTTGTCCATTAAAATTTTCCCTTAATTCTTAATTGTAAAAACAAAATCTCGAACTTGGAATATCCCGAGAGTATCATGCAATCGCTACAAATTCATTTAAATTTTCTCTTAAATTCCTAATTGCAAAGAAAAATCTCAAAATCTCGGACTTGGAATATCCCGAGAGTATCATGCAATCGCTACAAATTCATTTAAATTTTCTCTTAAATTCCTAATTGCAAAGAAAAATCTCAAAATCTCGAACTTGGAATATCCCGAGAGTATCATGCAATCGCTACAAATTCATTTAAATTTTCTCTTAAATTCTTAATTGCAAAAAAAAATCTCAAAATCTCGAACTTGGAATATCCCGAGAGTATCATGCAAATTGATAGCAAATACTTAATAATAATAATTTGTTTTATTTTCTTTTAATGACACTAAAACAACAGATTCTTCCCACAGTAAATCACTTACTCATTACTTTCATTTATTGCAATCTCAATAAATTACTCTCTCTCTCTCTCTCTCTACTGAGTTGTCTTTATCAGTTGTCTTTATCAACTTATCACTCTTTCACATGCGATCATTGCTGACAGTACTTCAAGTTGTTCAGATAAACATTTGGCTTCCATTTTAGAATGATTAATGCGATAAATCGAATGCTAAATTGTTTGAATTGGGTCAGATCAGGTGACATCAAAGAAGAGAAAATGCATATTGAGAAGTATATTGTGCCACCTGATCCATTTCATAGTTTGGTTTTTACCTTGGATGCAGCTAATCTTAATAAATGTGAAGTGGATATTGCATTTCCCAGACTTCTCGTATGTGTTTCTTTCTTTTTTTTTTTTCTTTTTTTTCTTTTGTTAAATTAAAAAATAAATTATAATAATTTTCAAAACTTTTTATTCGCAATTTATATTATTTCACTTTTACACCAATATTATATGCTTTCTTTCCTTTTTGAATATTTTGACAAATTCTAAGAAATCAATTAGCATATTGCTTTCAACCTTGTTAAGCTATAAATTGTTCCAGGCAGAGTTAGACTTATCACCCGAAAATCAAAAGTTGTTACTCGATCAGCCAATTGAAAAGAAATGTTTAATGCTCACAGAACAAAATGCTATACGAGTAAGTAATATTTTAATTTTTGGATAAATGTATCTATCATTAATTGATAATTGATTAAAAAAAAAAAATCAGTAATTAAAATTGATCAAATATTTGATTATTTTTGGATGGCAAATGAATTCTTTTACTATGTGAAAGTACTTTGTTGTACTTTGTTTCATTCAAATTCAAATTCAAAACATCAATGATAAATAATTTAAGTGCTTTTGTATGCATATGTGTCCGTCAATTTGAAAATTTTTTTTTAAGCAAATCTTAAATTTACTAATTTAACATTTTAAAAATAATTTTAGGATAAATATGGCATAGGTAATAGTAAAATAGCAGAGAAATTCTTGGAGATTATTCAAGGAAATAGTTTATTAGACAGTGATAAAAATCTTTATGTCTTGGAAGCGCTGTTTATTTCGTTAAGGACACAATCACACAGGTAAATCAGCTATTTATAAATTTAAAAAATCAAAAAAAAATTTTTAAAATTTTCAAATTAATCGAAATTTGAATTATTTAATATTTACAATGTTTTATAAAATTAATTTAAAATTAATGCTAATATCTTGCACAAAAAATCTTTAGATAGCTTAGAAAAAATGTATGAATGCAATAAATTGAAATTATTAACTGATTAATAATAATTGAAAAATCTTTCAACCAATAAAATTTTTTATGTATTTCGAAAAAAATTTGATAATCAAAAAAAAAAAAGAAAAAAGAAAAATCAATTCGTTTTTTTTATTTGTTATGCTGTCAAATTATTGCAGTTATGTGGAAAATTTTGTCAAATTAGGTGGCAGTGGACATTTAAAAAGTTTACTAAGTGAATGTTCGAGACGATCAGGGCTGGAACAGCATGCATCTGCTATTTTACTTTGCTTTCGAGCACTTCTTAATTCAACGGTATTCTTCAATTATGATTTATAATTCTTAAAAAGATATTAGAAACTTATAAAATGCAAATATAATACTAAATTTTGTCTCTGAAAAATTTTTAAATTAAATTTTCAAAAAAAAAAAAAAAAAAAACAACGAAAAACTCAACATTTTTTTTTTTCAGCTTTCTGTTCATTACAATTTTTAAATATACAACTGCAATTTGTTTTTTATTTCAAATTTCAAATGATTTTTAAAAAAAATTAAATTTTGAACATTTTAGCTATTACAGTAATTTATGAAACGCCATATGTAGTAGTACTTATTTTGAATTGCAATTTCAAAATGCAAAAATTAGAAAAATGCATTTAGGAGAAAAAAAAAGGAAAATTGAAAAATTAAATATCTAATTGATTATTCATTGAAAATTAGACAAATACATGGAACACAGTTGAAATGACATGAAATTCTTTTCAGGTTGGTCGGTTGGTTATTTTATCATCGAATGACACACTTTGTGTCATTGCGTCGTCCACTTCTCTTCCAAGTGCTAAATGCAAGGTTATTTTTTTTTTTTTGTTTTCTAGAATTTTTCAAATTAACTGTCTTAGTGACAAGCATAACTGATAGTTTGGTTTTCCATAATGTCAAACTGATAAACTGATATGTGACAAGCATAACTGATAGTTTGGTTTTCCATAATGTCAAACTGATAAACTGATATGTGACAAGCATAACTGATAGTCTGGTTTTCCATAATGTCAAACTGATAAACTGATATGTGACAAGCATAACTGATAGTCTGGTTTTCCATAATGTCAAACTGATAAACTGATATGTGACAAGCATAACTGATAGTTTGGTTTTCCATAATGTCAAACTGATAAACTGATATGTGACAAGCATAACTGATAGTCTGGTTTTCTATAATGTCAAACTGATAAACTGATATGTGACCAGCATAACTGATAGTCCATGGAGCATCAGTTTACTACTTTTAACTCTCGAAATGATGCATTTCTGAACTTAGTTTGCCTTCTATAGTAATAGCAGTAGTAATTTTTTCTAGTAAAATTATAAAATAGTTGAGAAAGAGAAGAAAGTATTAATTAGTTATCATTATCACTTGGTGATAAATTTGCAGTGAGAGTAAAAAAGCATCCAATGCTTTAAATCAAATGTCAAAATGATTGAAAAATATTCTGTTTCCTTCCAAATTTGCAAACAATATAGTTTTTGAAAGAAACACAAAATAATTGAAATTTAATTTATTTCATTTGTTTTGCTTCATCATTCGAAAATTTATCGATCACATAAAATATCAGTGAAAAATTTTATTTGTTTAATAAACAGAATAATTCATAGTGGATGATTATATTAATATTTAGTGATAATTGCTGCATTTAAAATTTCTTTTTTAAACCATTGAAAAGAATCATTTTGTCAAATTTTTATGAAAATGATTGCATCATTAAATCACTTAAAGAACTTTTCCATCCATTTCATATATATATATATTTGTCAGTTGAATGAATTCAGGAAGAAATGAAAAATTATTTTCTTCCTTTATTTATTATTGCATAACATTTTTCTTTTCAAAAAAAAAATTCAAAATACAAATGAAAATATTTGTTTAATTTGAAATTATTAAACTTTCAGTATGCAATAATCTAGGTCATTTTAATAATGTTTCTGCTATAAAAGAATGTTTTTTTTTTTATTGTTGTTTACTTTGTTATTTGTTTGCTAACACAAATACATAAATAAATCTAAATATTGAATGAGCGATTTAGAAATAATTTCAAAATGAAACATTCAATTCTTAATTAAAATGATCAACTTTTTTATCTTCTTCTCCTTCATTTCATTCTTCTCGAAAATTATTCAAAGCTAAATTTGGCAGATCAATGGGCGGTAATTGAATAGTACGAGAAGTTCATAAAAGGTCATCGTAATGTCGCACTGTTGTAATAGTAATAACGTTGTTGGAATGCAAATTAGCCATTCTTCTTCCCTATTTCTCTTTGTGAGATAAACATTAGAATGAAAATTTATCGAATTGCGATGTTATCAGACACAGACTAATTACTGATTATCATTTTAATCATTTAAGTTTGAATGACGAAGAAATCCTTGATAAGTTATTGTTTTTTATTGATTTGTTAAAAAATGGCGCTGTTTGCTGTATTTCATGAAAAATTGATTTTTTTTTCAGGTTGGAAGGAAAGTAGAAATAGATTTTATCACTCTAAGTTTTTTTTTTTTTTTTTCTAAGATTTTATCACTTTAAGACGAATTTACTTATCAGGTTTTATCGCAGAAAGTTTGTCAAAACAAGATGAATGTAGCTGATAAATAAGTTAATCATCGAGAGCAGAGAAGATTAAAATAATCAAGAAGCATTTGTGAGTACTATCGAGAGTCTCGTAAATCTCTTCATTTCAATTACAAGAATTTTGCAGTATTTATACACTGAATGATTTATTGAAATAATTTTTGGATAGTTTTTGCTTTTTAATTTCAATATTTCACACAATATTATCGCTTTCCATTCTTTTTCTATATTTTCTTTTTTTTTTTGCACATTTTTTTTCTCTCATTTTTATGCTAAAATTTGAAAAACATAAAAAGTTCCTTTTCAAAGTAAATAAAACATTCCGGAAAAGAAGCAAAATGGAAGAGAGAAAAAAAGTTAAAATGTAAAAAAAAAAAAAAAAAATAAAGTAAACAAGCTGGCTATAAATGTCATTTGTACTTTTCTATGATTCTTCCTCTTTTTTTTTTTTAATTTTCAAAATTTTCGATTAGTTTGCTTATTTATATTGGTTTATTTGTTGCTATACATATACTTAAAATAAAGAATGAGCCGGATTTTAAATCAGGAAAGATAATTATATGAAAACATTTGCTCTTTCTTTCCAATTTTGATCTCAACAACCACCTTGCTTTATTGATTGATCATTTATTTTATGAGAAATCTGAACAAAGAAACCTTTTCAACTTAATTTCTGTAAATGTTAATTCATGAATTTGAAATAGTAAAAAATCCTGAAGAAATGTGCTATAATTGAGCTAATTTTTCTTTGTAAATTTGATGAAATTAGCAGTAAATGAAATCGCCCAATAATTTTTTTTGGATTTTTCAAATGATTTGAAAACCTCAAAAAAAAAAAAAAAATTGGTTGCTCTATTTAATTAAAAAAATGAAATTAGAAAGAAAATTCTATTATATTGAAAATTTGCATTTTATGATAAATGCATATTAGAAAAGACAGAAAATCAAAATTTTGAATGATTTATTCATTTTTTTTCAATATTTCCATTTTTTTATTTCTTATAATTTATCCATGAATTTTCATTTCTAAAGTTTTTACAAATAAATAAAAAGTATTTGACAATTAAATGAAAAATGAATTTTTATATTTTTGATCCATCCATGCTTACTATTATTTATAATAATGTTAGCTTTTCTTTGTTGCTTGTAGATACAAAAATTCCGCTTTAAATTAAAATTTTAACATATAATTTTTCAATTTTAATTTCAATCTTAACATATAATTCTAATTGCTCGTAAAATCTTCTTACTTTAATTATTATTCCATTGTTTAAAATATTATATTTGAAACATTCCCCTCAAGAAATCAAATTTTCTGACAGTGTACTGAGTTTAAAAAATTTTTCATCGAAAAATAGAAATTACTTATTTATTAAATCACCGATTGTTTTATTAGCATTATAAGTAAAAATGCTCTGTTTATTTAATATTTTCTATTTTTCCAAAAAAAAAAAAAAATGCAAATGTTCGATGCTAAATATTATTTAATTATTGTCTTACTTTTACAATCTCTCTAAAAGCAATTTCACTTAATTTCATCTTCTTTTTTTTTTTTTTTTTGAAATATATGAAAAGAACAAATGTGACATTGCATGAAATTTTAAAATTTTCAAAAATGGCTCATTTATTAATTTAATTAAACGTTAACCTTTTTCTTTTTGCTCCATCGAATTTTTATTAAAAAAAAAAAACTTTCAATTTCAGTACTGATTAATGTTCCTTAAAAGTAATTTAAAAGTTTTTGCTTTTTTTTTTTTTTGCAATTAAAAAGTAAATGCTTTTTCAGCTATGCTGTATTAACTTTATTTCAAATTTGTCGAAAACTTTTCGATGAAATGAGCAAGCAACTAATTTCAAGGGCTAACACAGAAAAGTAATTTATAATTTAGTACGAAATTTAAGTAATAATTATTCAAAACTGTTCAAATTGACAAGAAGCTAGTTCTAAATATATGCTAAAGCTTAAAACAGGAAAAAAATTGGTCCGAAACCGGAAAACAATTTCATTATAAAGAGTAGTTCAGGTGTACACTCGGATCTTCTTCGTATTTAGATCATACATAAACTAATATATAAGATATATCATTTAATTAAGTATAAAAAAAATATAAAATGTATAAAAAGTATTTTTACCATTTAATTCCTTCTATAGTTCATTGTTCAAATGTTGAATTTTCTATTAAAATTTAAATACCAAAAGGTCATTCAAACTTATTTTTTATAATTTATACTGATGAAAACAGCATTTCAATTAGAAAAATATTTTTGTTGTAGCTATATTCATGTGATAACAAATCAGAGATTATTATAATTATATTTGAACATACAATAAGAACCAGTTTGAAAGATAAAATCCGGTTTTCTGTCTTACTGAATTGATGTATTTCAATTATTCATTAAAAATTATCTTTAATTTAAGTATTATAATTCCAATTTGTAATGTTTTTTGTTCAGCATAGAATTTTCAAATTATTATTAATATTAATGGAATTAAAAAGAGAGCGTTTTGCTTGAATTTTGTTTAAAGAAAACTTTGTAACTTATGTTTACTTCAATAAAAAAATTTATTAAACTGTAACAAATTTAACAATAATTTCATTTTTGAAAATAATTTCTCAGAATGAAAATAATTTCTCAAATTTGAAAATAATTTCTTAGAATGCAATCAGTTCCGCCCACATTTTTCTCTTTTCAATTGGTATTTGCAGAAGAAAAACAATAAAAATTACATAAGAATCTATTATTCATCCATATATTTTCAAAAATATTCAAAGCTTTATCCCAACTATCTTATCTTTTTCATTCTTTTAGAAGTAAATTCGGAAGGGAATTCAAAATGTTAAAAAATTCGAGTTCTGATTAAATGATATTTACCGCCTACTGATAACATTTTCTCTTTTTTCGTCATCAATTTTTTTTTTATTTTGGTTAATACAGAATTTTCCAAATCTGCAAGTAGAGGTTAATTAATTAAAGCATACAATGATATAAGATTTCAATAACAATATTATAAGAATTTCTAAAAAAAAAGAGAAGTTTGAAATATGAAAATGTTCTTTATGAACTTTTATGCCTAATTAAAGGAAGAATATTTGATATTTTTAATGATTGAATCAATAATTTTAAATTTTAGACAAAGTTATTAACTCTAAACCTTTCCTTTATTCCTCATTTGAACTACTTTTCTAATCTTATAGCATCTTTCTTTTCAAAATCTCAAAATTTTCTCTTCGAATTATTAATATGCAATAGGAGCTGTGCACTTTAACTTTTGCGCCCTCGCTAAAGAGAGGGCGCAAAAGACAAAAATGTGTGATTCTGTCATTCATTATTCATAGAAAAGCTTTTTTTATTGTCAATTAAAAATTTTAAATGCAACATTTTAAATTTTAATTTCTTATTACGATTGCGGAATGAATGTTGAAAGGAGTGTAAGTGATAATCGTATCTAACAGTGACCTTTTATTTTGCAATCATATCATCACTGATAATTATCATTTAGGTTACTATCACTATCACTAATTCTATGATTAAATTATATTTCTCTTCAAGCAAAAAAAAAAAAAAAAAATTTTTTTTTGTTTTATTTTTAAATAAATTACTTTTTATATTGCATAGATTAATTTTTGCAATTTTCCCTGTTTTATATTTTATTGCATTCAAACTTTGGTACAAAAATTAAAAATCTTATTTGTTATCCAATTGCAATTTTTTTTTCTTTTTTATACTAAAATGCAAAACATATATAAATGTAATTAAATAAACAAATTAAATTAAATTAAATACAGTATGCAAATGATAATTTCATGTACACTAACGTAGATATTTAACAGTAATCGTCGATTTTTTTCCTCTCATCATCCTCTCAGCATTAAAATTTCTTTATAATTAAATATAATTTCTCATAAATACCTGTATCTCTCTCTCTCTCTCTCTCTCCTTTTTTCCATTTTTTTTTCGTTTCGTTTAAATTGCAAAAAATATAAAAATCCCTATATTTCGTTAAAATTACAAATGGCAAAAATGTATATTTTCAGTTTTTTTAGCAAAAAAAAAATGATAGAAATAAAAAATAAAATAAATAAACGAAAATATTTTGTTTATATTCTAACTATTGTCATCTCATTTGCTTTTCCATTTCATTTTTTCCCTTTTTTTTTTTATTATTATTATAATTACTTTCCTTCCATTTTATCTCATTCTCTCAACAATTTTCATTTCTCATTTTGCATCATTAATTGCCATTTGAAAAAAAAAAAAAAAAAAAAAACGTTTGGTAAATAATTGCTCATTTTGCTCATTTTTTCATGGATTTTTATCCTCCGATATAACACTTTTATTCCGAATTAATCCGCCGGTCGGTACTTTTGAATAAATGAAAAATACTGGTAAATTTTGAAAATGTTACCTCATTTATTGCTGAAAATTCTACTTTTATTCTCCCATCAATGCATGATGTGAACTTTAATTTATTCATGAATGAATGAAATTGAACTGCCATAAGCTTTCTTCATTTATTACTAAAAAATTGATCTCAGAGTTAATTATATGAATTTAAAAAGTAGCAGCTCTGCAAAAATATTTGATCCAATAGTAAGTTCGATTTTTGAACTAAATTGACCCAAACAAAGAAATCACAGATTATTATATATAATATTGATCTCTAAGACTCTTTTATTAATCAAACTTTAAATTATTCATATTCTTCTTTCCAGTAATAGTATAAGATGGACCAGAAAGCATGATAATATCGTGAATAATCATAGCTAACTGTCCACCATGGTTTCATTTCACCTAAACTACGATATCTCTTTAAATTTTAAAATTTAAACTAATTTTTAAAAAATTTTTTTAAATTTCACATAATACATGAACTTTAGACATAGTATCATCCATGTGACATAGTCATTAGGATGAGTAATCTTTTCGGTCAGTGATTCGAAAAGGAATTAATTTTTTTTTTTTTTTTTTGAATTACAGGTTTTGTGCTATGAAATATTAGCCGGTATTTGTTTGATACCTGATGGACATCAAAAAGTGCTGCATGCAATAACGGATGCACAAAGAATTCTTGGAGAAAGGACGAGATTTCAACGGTTGGTAGACGATATCTACCGGAATTACGGCAACGATCGTGAAACTGACCGAGTACGCACAGCTGCGATGAGCCTAATTAATGCATTATTAAGCACTGGTCCTGCTGAGGTATTCATTTCAAATTTATTTAATTTTTTTTTTTTTTTTTTAGAGATTAGAAATAATTTCAAATATTTAGAATTGACGTATGTTTCTTATCGTTTAGTTGCATATTTGAGAAATTAAAAATTATTCCATAGGAGACATTTGACAAAACAAAAGTCAATGGATCTAATGCCTAAAAATCCTCTCTAAAACCCATTTTCATTCCCTCTCTCTCTCTCTCTCTCTCTCTCTCTTGTATTTTAAGGAATGATACTGTCAGTGCTATAAAGCAGAGTTTAAGAAATTGTTTAAAATTTTGAGAAAAGATAGCAATAAAGGATTTACCACTATCTCCAATTATCTTCAATACAAAAAGATTGATCAATTTATAATTGTAACATCGAACTGTAATCACCTAAAGATAAAATGAATGATAAGAAGCAGCAATGATTATCATATCATTGATTGCTTGATATCAGCATGTAAAATGATTCTTTCAAGTGTTATTTTATTTTTCATTTTAAGCATTAACGTTGCGAATTTTAGGCTTAATTTTCCTTTTAACGATTGCTTTGCATGTTCGAAAGAATATGTAGATGAGACACTTAGAAATAATATTATATGTGTGACAGAAACATTTCAATAAAATTACGATATAAAAATAAAAAATATTTTTAATGAAAAAAAAAAATTTAAATAATATGAAAATTTCAAAATTTAAATTCAAAAATATATAAAAAGGAGTAACCATTCTTTTCAATATTTGATTACGACATTTTTCTCCAAAGCTGCTTAAAGATAGTGATCAGATAGCAGTAGTAGTAGTAGTTATGATATAAATAATTTGATGAATTGAATTCGAATACGAAAGCAATTAAAGTGAATCGGAAAGCAGTTGACTTTCACCTTTTGCTTTCCTGGTAGATTAGAAGTAGTTTCATCCTAAAATTTTTATTTCTACCATTAATTTATATACCAAGAAAGCAACTTTTATCAGATTTATAACTGATAAATGTAAAAAAGATTTATAAATTAGAAGGAGAAAAAAAAAAAAATCGGTCAAATTTGAAGGTGAAGGTTAGATAAGAGAGAGAGAGAGAGTTATTGTTTTTATATAACTGATATTTTTTTTTTTTTTGCAAAAATTTAGAAAACTGATAAGTTTCATTGAAACAGCTGACTGTCAGTTGTCAAAAATTTGAGGCGGAAAAAGATAAAAAAACCTTTTATCACATTACTCATTTATCTTCAACAATTGATCAAAATTGTTACTTGAAACTTTTCTTGCAAGCAATTAGTATTCATTAAGTAATTACTTGAATAATTGTTATAACTTCTAAACCGCTTGTTCAATTAACTCAACTGAAACTTTTATTTTTATTATTTGTTATGACAAATTTTATTTATTATTTGTTATGACAAGTTTTATTTATTATTTGTTATGACAAATCTGTTTATAAATTATTATTTATAAAACTTTCTAATAATCAAAATAGCTTTCACTTTGCTTTTTCAATCTTTTTTTCATCAACAAATTTTTATTTTATTGTTTGTTAATTATGGAAAAAGTTTCTTTTTAATTTGTGAAAATACTAAATTATATGCTTTCTCATTAGAATTACAAATTTTCATAAAACAATTTTTATGCCAACAATGCAAAAATTCAAAACAATATCTCATTTTTTGATTTAGTAGAATTCATAAAAATTTTGGTCAATAAAATTTATCTTTTTAATGGATTTTTCTTTATTTTATATTTTCAAATATTGCGATGAAAATTTTTTTTTTTTTTTTTTTTTTTAGAAATCATTGGAATTTCGTATGCATTTACGATTTGAACTATTAATGTTAGGATTGCATAATATCCTGGAACAACTTCGTGCTACTTCGTCAACCGTTTTGGACGATCATTTCGATTTGTTTGAAATGAGTAGACAAGAGGATGAGCAGCATTTTGCCAGGTGACATAAAATATTTCATGATTTAATTATATTGAATTAACAATAGAACAATCAATTCTATGTTTTATTTAGCTCTTTTTTTGCATCATTTAAGTTTTTAAAAATATTTGCCTTATTTATTTATCCTTTCATTTTATCTTTTCATATTTTAATTCGACATTAATTGCATGTGAATACTTTCCTGATATTTTATTTATCTTTAAGTAACAGAAAATGTTATTGATACATATCTTTAAATTGCTATTTGAGGATTAAAATATTATTTTCTATAATAGAAGTCAAATTTATGATGTGACATTTTATTGTGTCATCAGCAAGAATATGACAAACTTTCTTTTAATTATATTATTTTCCTTGGCCCACATAGAAAAATGAGAAATGGAATAAGAAAGTAAATAAGTGAATAGTATTTAAGAAATATCTGATAATCAATTGTAATAATTAATTTAACAATTATTTAAAAAAAATTTGGTACAAAATAAATTAACTTTTCTTGATGTTAGTTAATTTCAAAACCAAAAAAAAAAAAAAAAAAAAAACAATAATTGATTGTATCAATGATAAAAGTTAGACACAGATAAAGGTAATTTGCTAAATATTATTGGTGATAATCCATATTGATTTATTTCATTACAATTTTTTGTAGTTAAAATAAATTAGAATTTAAGGATGAAATTGAAATTTAAGGAGAGACTCGGGGACATCAACACCAATTGATGTGGAAAATCCAACAGATATCATTGATATATTAATGGAACGATTGAATAATACCATTGCAATGCCTCATTTCATTTCCATTTTGCAGCATCTTATGCTTGTATCATCCGATCATAAACATACCCATATATGGAGGTAAATTCAGTTAATTAATTTGTATCTAAGATTTAATTTAAATTTTGTGACCATTTTTATGTTTAACTTAGTTTAAGTTTTTTTTTTTTTTTCTTTTTGCATTTCCAAAAAAAAAAAAATTAATCTCATCTTCAGTTTACTCTTTTATATTATAGTTTTTGTTTACCCATACAATAGGATATGTTATTTATGGATTAATTAAAATTAATTAGTCTATTTAATTTGTAGACTACTCGATATTGTACTACAACAGTTAGTATTACATGCAAAAATGGAAGTTTGTACAGATTTGCAAGAACCTGTCATAAGCATAGATATAAATAAAACTTTATCCAGGTATTTTGGTATAATTTTTAAGCAATAATCTCATTTTATCTAACTAATAAATAAAATTTTATGAATAAGTAAATACAATAGAAAATATAAAAATAAAATTATGACTACAAAAGATTTAGCAATTTATGAATAATCAATAACCGTGCATAATGTTTGTTTGTTAAGTAAACAATTTGCATTAGTTATAAAAAATTAAAATAACAAATTTTATTTTTCTCAAATAATATTATTAAAAGTGAGAGGTTTAAATAATTTAAGTTTATATAAGAAATGAATGAATTATAGATTACATACACAGCATGAATATGAAAATCTTGAAAGGATGTATAATGAATTGGAAGAAGAATTACGAAAAGAGAGAATGAATGTGATTGAATTGCAAAATCGCCTGGCTGATTGCGATTTGCGCTCCATTTATTCCAGGTGTGGTAATTATTTTTTTCTTTTTATAAGATTAAGGAATGCTAATTAAAATTATTATTAGAGATTGTAATCAGTTATAATCCTACTTAATTTTTCATTCAATTTTTTTTTTTAATATAAGTACAAAATACATATTTATTTGGTTGAAATATTTTGATATTATATATTTCTTCATCATTTTTACATTCTCATCAGCCTAATTTGAAGTACAATTGAATCATTTCTTTCCCAATTTGCAACTAATAATTTTTTTTTAAAAAAAATTATACTAATTAAATAAACAGTTATCATATCTATTATTTTTTTTTTCTTCCCAATTAATAATTTTTTTTTTTTAAAAAAAATTCATTTTATATCAATTAATTAATGAATTTTTTTTTTAAAAAAAAACTTCATTTTATGCACTATCATATCTTTTCATAGTTTTGCTTTTAAAAATTATACTAACTAAATAATCAGCTATTATCATATTTATTTTAGAACTAGCGCAGATTCGACAGATTCGACATTTCCGTCCGATCCTTGTGAATCTCCAAGTCCATCATCATCTTCGGTACCACCGATATGTCCACCGTTACTACCTCCACCACCACCGCCACCATCACTACTACAGCTTAGCATGCATCGTGATCGAACTGTACCGGAAGCAATCGGCGCAAATGAAAATACAAAAAAGATACCGAAATCAACAGCACAACTGAAAACGCTTAATTGGATAAAAATTCCTAAAGATAGAATTTTTGGCACTGTTTGGGAGAATATTAATGAGGAAAAATTGTATGAAAAGGTTATTGAATTGCTGGATGCTTATTTTAATATCATTTAACACAACAATCACCTTTATTAGCACAAATTTTATAGAGAAAATAACATATCATTTAGTTTACTGATAAACAATCTAAGTTAGTGTTAGATTTATTTTCATGTAAATATTGTTGTCATTTTTCAATTTAAAGTGACGAGTTTCAGTTAGATCTCGAAGATGTTACACAAAATTTTTCAATTAGCAAGATATCGATTGATGAAATGGAATCAGTAAGTGAAACATTACGTAGACAGCATCGTGCCGAAACATCCATTTCCGTCATCGAACCTCGTCGTGCCCAAAATTGCACGATTATGCTATCGAAGCTTCGGTTATCAAATAAACAAATTAAGCATGCCATTTTGTCAATGGATCAATATGGCGAATTACCACGTGATATGATCGAACAAGTATGATAGATATTATTGACAATTCAATTCAATTCAATTATTTTTGTATAAACATTTCAAACTTACTCATTTGCATATTTACTAGTGCAAAAATATTTATACTAATGCATATAATATCTAAAAATAGTTTAATTCTTCATTTGTCACTTTAATTTAAATTTTTTATGTTTTATTTGACTGATCTTAAATTCTCCTCCAACTATAATTTAATTAGAATAAATTAAATAGCGGGATGAATTATATGTAATATATAGAAATTAAGGTAGTATTTGTTGTCAATAACCACGGTATTTTATTTTTTCTCTACTTTGTAAAATTTGGTAGTCGACAATATTACCTGTAAATAATCATAACTATTATTACCTATTAATTACTATAATATCAATATCAAAAGTCAAAGAAAGTAATTATCTAATTTTTCAATTCCCTATTTTTCTTTTTTTCAAAAAATCAACTTGAATATTTGGTTAGTCTGAACTTCGTTGTGATTTTCAACTATTTCTATAACTTAAAAGTTTTCTTCCTAACTCAAAATTAGTTGTACCAAATAGCTAATTCAAAGATTTATTCTCAGATGTTAAAATTTTTGCCGACTAAAGAAGAAATTATGAAAATACGCGAAATCGTGGATAAATACAAAACTGTCAATGTATTATCAGTAGCAGATCGATTCTTTTATGAAATTAGCAAGTAAATTTCTTTTTCCTTATTTTTTTTTTTTTTTTTTCAGAATTATTGTTGAATTTCACAATGTGATAAAATGATTGCATAGTGATTAGAAGCATTCTGATAAGATAAGGAATGAAAATTTGTTTGGAAGATGCATTTATTCCGCTAATCATTGCTTTGTTAAAGATAAAAGATAAAAGTTCAAAATGACTGATAAATGTTTTCTTCAGTGTTCCGCGACACGAAGAACGCTTGCGTTGTTTGCATATTATTAGTACCTATCGAGAACGCATCAATGATGTTTCTAATACTGTTGAAAGTAAGCTAAAAATTATGCTAATATTATATTAATATGATTAATGTTGCGCTATAAATTAGATTTTATTTTATCGAAAAAAAAATTTTAAAAAATTTCATTTCTGTCATCTTTTTTTTTTTTTTTTCCTAATCACATTATTTTTCTTCAGCAGTAACAAATGCTTCAACAGCTGTAATAGGCAACAAACGTTTAAGACAACTTTTACGTATAATTCTAGCAGTAGGCAACATTCTGAATTGTGGAAAACGTAATGGAAATGCTTATGGTTAGTTATTAAAAGTTAAATAAAATTTTTGTTCTTTTTTTTTTTAGAATAAAATTTTAGAAATAAATCTAAAATGCATACTTTATTGACTGAGTGAATAGACCATCGTTGTGATCCGGTCGGTAGTGCTTTGAAGTTTTGGATCTAAGACGGACGTCAAATTAAAAAGAATTTTCAGACAGTACTACTTTATAGGATTCACATTAGCTTCGTTGCGATTACTCACAGACGTACGAAATTCATTACGTTCCGATCGTAACTTACTGCACTATATCGTTGAGCAATTCGAAAACAAGAAGTCAGATGTACTAGGCCTGAAACGTGACCTAGAAAGTGTCTATCAGGCTGCTAGGCACAGGTAAGTCTTTGCTGGCTCTTTTCTATACGTTTGCAGTTAATGCTATTATTACTGGACGAAACACTGTTATATATTTTTGAAAAGTTTAAAGAATAACTTAGCCATTTCTCATCATATACTACAGTCGTAAAGAAATGGAACAAGAACTGTGTGCTTTACGTAAATCAATCAAAATTGCAACGGAAGCGTTAAAAGATACCGAAACAATAAATGAAGACGAAACGTGGAATAACAAACGTGACAAGAACGTGGATCGTTTTGTAGAAGTGCTGAAGGATTTCCTGAATTCTGCTGAAAATGATTTTGCACAAGTTGAGAAGCAATATGGTGATATGGATACCAAGGTAAATTAAATCTTAAAATACTTTAAAGTAAAGATAGATGACGTACGTGATATCTTTTTATCTTCTTAAGTGAATATTTCAATATATAAAGTGAATTTGTAACATACTTTCATCTTCACTTACTCAAAAAAAAAAAAAAAAAAAAAAAAAAAATTAACCTAAATGGAAACTAGGAATAAACGAATGATTTCTCATTATAATTGTCCCATTTTTTTTTTTTTTTTGTTGTTGGTGTTAACCGATTAGCAGAATTATTTCAGTTCCGGGTATGTGTGAGGATGTTTGCAGAAGAACCGAGAAACACTTCACCGGATGATTTCTTCGGTATAATCTCGAAATTTTTAACTGCACTAACCGAATGTCATCAACAGATTTGGGAAGAGCGTGAAAATTTGGAACGACTTAAAAAGCAAACAATGGCACGATCAATACTGTCTAAAAGATGTAAATCTTTTCTCGACTGCTTATTTCATTCTTTTTTTTTTTTAAAAAAAAAAAAAGGAAAAAGTAATTCAAGTCAAGAAATTATTTCTATCCAGAATATTTCCTTATAATTTAAAAAATGTTTTAATGATGTTTTAATTGCTTTTTTTTTTAAAAAAAAAAGAAGGAAAAGTCATTGAAAATATATTCTAAACAAATTTCCAAATTTTCGATTGAATTTGTTATGTGCTATATCAGTTTTTTATGATTTTTTCAAAGAATTTACTGTAAAAATTTTGTGATAATATTTTATGATGTTTTATAAATTGATTAATTCAACGAATTCAATATTATTTCAGCTCGACAACGTGACAATCATAGTCGTAACTTTGATCAATTAGTTACAGCGTTACAAAGTGGTGAAATATTTTCCGAAGAATTGACACGTCTAAGGACGTCATTTCGTTCACGGAAGAAATTAGCCTAGTGCATCCTCAGAAAGAGAATGAAATTAGGAATTAATTTGAATTGATTAGAAAATAGTGTAACGGAAGAGATTCGTAAAATGTTCAGAATCACACAAAATTTTTTTTTTACATACACTTTTTACCTTCTAATTAAAACTAAAAAAATTGCCAAATGAATTTAGAAAATTCTAAAAAAAAAAAAAAAAAAAAAAAATTAATTCAATTTCATAATTTAAAATCATTGTCAAATATCAACGAAAGAATAGAATGGAAATTTTATGTAATAATACAATATAATATATCTTTTTTGTTCAATATTTACATAAATTAATTCATTTTGCAATGTTCTTTAAATATTAATCAATAAATTGATCGTTATCAGTGATAGTAGATAGAAGAGAGATCAAAAATAAAACAATGATTAGCTTTAACTTTATGTATGTAATTATTTGTTTGCATTTTTGTGTGTTTATTATAGATGTAATATCATTTTTCTATAAATCCTCCCCTTTTTGTAGTGAAAAGAATAAAATGTGAAATTTGATTTAATTTGATTTAAATTTAGGTTAGCATACAATTTTTTAAATGGTAAAAATGGTTGAATTTTTTTGAAACATTTAGAAGATATTTGTTCATTTAAATTTTGATATTATGTGTGTTTAGTAATTAACTTAAATATTATATTGTATGTTTAGTTTTTATTTATATGTTTACATGTTTAGTAATTAATTTTTTTTTACCTGCGTTTAGTAATCAATTTAAACAATGAAAAAAAAAAGTTAAATTATCCAAATTTCACTTATTATCTAAAGTTAACCGCTTTAAAAATTTTCTTGTAATTGGTTAACAATTTTAAAAATAGTGAAAAATAGAATTATTTTGTTGAATGACAAATTTATGAACTATGTTTGTTGCGCTATTGTCAGAGTAGAATTAGCTTATATATCATTAGCCATGTACAGTATGTATGTATATACATGTTTTTTTATCATTATTAATCATAAAATAATGATGATAATCTCAGGTGTACTTTTGTTATAATTAATTAAGTTAAGTTATGTTGCTATTATCATACGGAAAGAGTAATATATTCTCCTACTGTTTACTAATCTTATCGAATGCTCTTCTTTTATGTCACAAATATCTATGATAATTCTCTTATCACTTCATCTATCACTTCATTCAAACGATTAAACATTGATTTTTTTTTTATCACGTACGCAGTATTTTCACGCAACGTATCAGAAATAAATATAAAGATGAAAATAGATGCATGCATCTATTGTAAACTGTGCATGCACTTTTTTCAATCTTGAAATTCACAGTAATATTAATGGTCTATTAAAGAGCGAAGGTCAGTTGTGTTTATCAGAAATACAAACAATCGGTTAGGCTATTCATTTTTCTCTTCTTTTTTCTTTTTTTTTTTTTTTTTTTCGAAAGCAAAAAAAGTGAATAATATTTACAAAGTGATATATTTCAATGTTTGCATTTGGTAATTTTCCTTACAATCACAAACATTTTAATTTAATTCCTTTATTGTAAGCATATGTGAATTTCTTAACATATAAAAAAAAAAAAAAAAGAATCTTTTGATATTTCATTTGATAAGAGATAATTGACAAAAGTTTAAGTTCGAAAGACATATTATTCACCATAAAATGTCACAAAATTTTTTGAATATACATTGGTTGAGCTGAAATTAAAATCACAAACAACAAAAATTTTATTAACAGTGTAACTTTCAGTTCATTTGTTTGCTAAAGTTTTGACTGATTCATTGTGTGATTGTGTTTTTCAAATTTCCATTGGTAAAAATTGTTATGAATGCTTGCTAATATTGTAATTATATCGAAATTTATCAGTTATCACTAAATTCTTCGATTTTTTTTTTTTTGGCTCTTTCTTTTTTACAGTTTTTTAATGGTCATTTAAAAATATTGGAGGAACTTAATTAATTATTTTATTCGTTTATCATTTGCTAATAATTTATTAATTGAATGCATTTAATTGATGGCTCACTAAAATGATCGAAATCAGATTTTTTGAATGTCATAATTAATTAATTTAATAATTAAGGCTAATTCTTATGCAATTATAAGCTTTCTCTTTGCACTAAATTTTTTTGTGCATTATTATCGAAATGGAAAAGGGAATTTGAACTTAAAATAAACTAAGTGTAATAAAGAAAGAAGTGACAACAAATTTTAACACTGCTTGATGATTGAACTTTTACAGATTCCGGTTCTCTTTGATGATTAAATTTTTACAGATTCCGGTTCTCACTTTTTATTTTTCCGTAATTACCTCAGCTATTTCTACCGTAATGTGGAAATATTAGTAAATAAGGCATTAATCTCAAGAATTACACACATATCATATCACTTTGTTCATGTGAATAATGGCAAGTTAATGCATATCATTAAATGTTAATTGAGTAAATAAATGAAAAATATTGAGGAAGAACAATTGATATTTGTTAGCAATCATATTTTAAAATTGAAATTATCAAAATGAGTGATCAAATTGTTTCGATGAAAAAGTATTTTTTATTTTTCTGATTTTGAAATTACAATTTGTATTTAAAATATCTGAAAATTTTTGCTTTCAAGTGCTCTCTAAAATCATTAATTTAAATTTTGTCTTTTAAAACAAATCGAGTTCGTTTTTTTTCTTTTTTTTTTTAACTTTTTTATTGATTTCTTTGGTGAACATTGATACATTTAGGGAAGAACGTCATATAAAATCAATATTATCTATTAATGAATTTTCATGCCAAATATTTAATTGGTTTCAAATTCATAATCCTCTCTCATATTTCATTTTTTCCCTCCCATTCTCTGCTTTTATTTCACCAATTATTTTTATTACCTTTTCATTTCCATTAAATTTATTATTGCTAGCTATATCTCTTATTATCACTCAATGTTAACAACTGATTCTCTGTCATAATTCTTATCACTTCTATAATTACTTATCATTAACATACCACAATTATCACACAGATAACACTTTGACCATTTTGAACTTATTATTCAATTTTCATTTAGTATAATATTCATTATCTTTATCATTTTCATTCAAAATATAAAGATATCTTTAAATTTTTTCATATATATGTATATATTTTTTTTTTTGACCTTTTTATATTCATCAAAAATTTCTGCTTTTTTCACCACTTTCATAAAAAAATTCTAATACTATATCTTCATTTGCATATATTTAAAATTATTATCACTTATGATTTTCGCATGATAAGGTATGATAAGGTACGTTGCTGTTAAAATTTTCATATTTCAGTGAAATATTATCAAATTCCTTCCATAAATTTCCTTAACTTATTTACATAAACAGAAAATAGAAAACGGAAATTACAAATGCCATTTACAAAAGCTACCACTACTTCCTAATACTTTTCATCTCTTCTTCAGAGTTAAAAGAGAGTTAAAGAGGCACAAAGAAAGAAATACCAATAAATCCGTTCTATTCTATCTCTCTTTTATATTTCTCAAAACTATTAGAAAATGCCACTTTATTCTTTGTCTACTAATATTTCATTAATTTTTTAATTGCTTAATAATTTCTCTTCAAACAGTATTTGCATGAGTCACTCCCAGATGAATCATCTGTAGATTGATCAATCATATTGAATATTTCTTGTCATTTTGTATATGTCAGAGATTAATCATTGATTTGAATTTCAATATGACATTTAAATTTTAGTCATTTATTCGAGAATAAGCGATAATTCCTGATACTCTGTCATCAGTGTATTCGAGAAAAATTGATGACCGGATTTATGCAAACAATAAATAATGTTCAATTATTGCCGTTTAATTAGATTATCAATTGAAAATTTATTAGTTAAATTTGAAAATACCTATTGAATTAGCTATAAGAAATTTATTTAATCTTTTCCTTAGTGCTGCTGCAAACAAAAGTATCTATTTCTTATCCTCGCTATTTTCAACAATGCATTAATTATTATTATCTGTTCAATATTCTTTTGTTCCATCTTTTTTTAACCTTTGATCAATTTCAATGAGATATAAAACTTTCATGCCAGTAGTGATCAGATTATTAAAATCAATCAAAAATAGGAAAGAAAAAAAAAAAAAAAATGAAGGAATAATTTCGATACAAGTTCAAATCGATTTTTCTCATTTTTTTTTTTTTTTTTTGCTGAAAATTTCAACAATGTTTTTTTTTTTTTTTTTTTATTTTTTTTTTTTAGATATTTTAACGAAGAGAATAAAATGACAACAGTGCAATTATTTGATTCAGCAGCTAATGATAGACAACACGCGGCTGATCAAAAAATATCAACAAAAAGTGCTCAGTTAATGACAAAGAGGCAAATGAACTTTTCTATTATCATCCATTGATCTAACATAGTTATTCAGAATTTTTGCAATAAAAAAAAAAAAAAAAAAAAGGAAAGAAAATGATAGTTTATTGCAATGAAATATCATAAAGTAGAATAATTCGGCATGAACTTTGATAATTTAGCTAATAAATTTAGTTTATGTGAAATCTGTGAAATTTTTTCTCCTCAACAAATTGATTTGATACCACAGTAACAATTCTATGGTAAGCACTGACTTTGAAGATAGGCTTTGAAGAACAAATACAAAAATTATGTAAATTAAAAGTTTTACTTAATTTTCTATATACTAAGTTTTACTTAACTTACTATACATATATTTTTTGTTTTTTTGTTTTTTTTTACTTACTATATATATACTTAATTTAATATTTCGCTGATTTTATAGCATTACGATGAACTAAAATATTCAATATTAAAAGATAAATTTATCTTTTATTAAAAGATAAACTTATTTGTATGATATCGTAATGATAGAAATACATAGCTAATAGATTTTTTGCCTTTTTGTCACAAAATTTTTGAGAAAACTTAAATTATCTGTTCATTTTCAATATTTAACCTTCAATTCAAATACTTTTGAACTATTTCCAAACCTCTTGACTGTAAGTTAATCATGTAATTTTGATTGATAGCACTTTCGCCTCTCTTCTATCACATTAAACAAAATATTCATTTTTGAAAAATAACTAATATTTCTATTCTTAAGTTTCTAATCCATTTTTTATTCCTTTATTTTCATTTCATATTTATTCCTCATCCCTTGTCAATAATACGTTAGGTGAAAAAATCTTTGAAATTATTTTTTTGGTAATGAATTGAATTTTAAATTCTCATACATTGTGCTAAAAAAATTATTCATTACGAATTATAATTTCGCGAAAACTTCTATCTAAAAACAATTCCCATAATATCATAAATTATCTCTACATAAATCTAGTTGACTGTTCAAAAATGTTTCCTTGAAGTAATTAGCCACTGAAGTAATTAGATAGGAGAAATGAGAATCTTTTTGATGGAATTATTTGACACTGAAAAAACAATGGGGCGCTTTTTGTTGTCATCAGAAGAGAGCAAAAAAGCATCAAATAAATTTCATTCTCTTTGTTTGTTTCTTTTTTTCTCTTCTTTCACTTCAAAATTACTGTTCTCATAACATACAAAGGTGACAAACTTACCATCGATTTTTCTATTTCAAAAACAATTTTATAAAATTTATTAAATGTTTAGATAAAACATTTATATTTGATATTTGAGGCTAATTTTTATTAGTCAGTCATTTTTGAGATTCTGAAAAAATCTCAAGAATTAATAACCTCTAATTTTTGTTGTATGACAGAAATGTCATTGCATAATAAAACTACTTCCAATAATATTACTCTTTTTGGTTAAACACTTCAAATATTTTTTTTTTTTTTTTATTTTAAGTACTATTTTCGACTAACTATGAGGAAAAAGAAACAATTAGAAATTTCTTTTTTCAATTTTTCCAAAATCTCAGATTAATTTGAAATGAGCATTTTGTTGACATAATTGGTAAATAATGGGACAGAAAATGAACAACTGGAAGTAGTTTATAAATATATTTGTTAAACTACCATTTCTCTTCTTCTAAACAATCTATAATTTTTTCAGCAAACTTTTTTTTTTCATCAAATCGTCAGCAAATTAATTCATCCATTATTTCAAATGTTTTAAATCATTTTCTGAAATTTACTTCATCGCATAAATTTTGCTTTCTTTTTTCTCTCTTTTCATTTATTTTTTTCCCATTTTATTCAAACATTTTGAATTATTAAATGATTTAAATGATACCCAAAAACTAAAATTAAACAAACATTAATAATTATCAGTCCAATTTAATTTTTCTTTATATCATTCATCCCTTTTTTTCTCCTTCCTTTCTTTTATTTGCTCTTATTTAGCTCTTTCTTTTTCCATTTCTCAAATCAAACAAAACTTATATCATTTAAGTTAGTTTGTTTATTTCATTTTTTTTTTTCGTCCAAATTCCTTTTTTACTTTATATTATTTCTGATAAATTTTTTTCGAGTAAAAAGAGAAAAAAGTATTGAAATGAAATGAAATGGGAATAAATTGTCGTCATCAAAGGTTAGCAACGATTTGCACTTTGTAAATTTAACAAATCTATCAAAACAATAATAACCTAAATTAAATTACTTCTTTTAATGAGTTTGAAACCAGTTTTGGAAAAAGCTAACATTGGTTAAGAATTTTTGTTAAAGCAAACCAAAAATTTTATAAATCAAACTATTACTTTAATTTTTATTCTTTTTGTCAAAACAATTATTACATTATCAATTTATTCATTTTATCGCAGATATTGTCGATCAGTGGTTTTTTTGCTCGCTGTAACAGCTGCTATATTTTTCTTTTCTACCGTTATTTTGGCAATACTTTTGAAGCTAAAATGCAACGAAGAACCGGTAATTTTTAATTTTAATGAGATTTTATTTCATTTTTTTTTTTTATTCAGATTTCAATTCTAAATTAATCAGAGATGTTGTAAAATTACACATTAAAATATGTAATGTGGTCACTAAAAAAAAAAATAGCTACTCGTAAATTACTTTTTATTGAAATGATGAATAGGTAGGTGCTAAGATAGTACCTGAAGTGAAGTAGTACTAACTAGAATAAGTTCATATTACAGTAATTATCGAATAATTTGATTGCTTTAATCATTGCTAAACAATTATCAACCAAATATTATTTTTCAAATTACACATAAATAATTTGAAAAAAATTTAGGTAATAACAAATACAGTAATTCAATGTAACGATTCATCAACTTCATCATCAAGTAAAGAAGTTCCGTTAAAATGGCCAGAGCCAAGCGGAAGTTTACACGCACGTTATAAACGAGCCGCTATTGCAACTGATAATGGCATATGCAGTGGAATTGGAAGGTTAGTCGATAATATTTGGATTTTCTAGAAGAGCACTTAAAGTAATAAGATTTAAAGTTAAATTTGCAGTAACACGTAAACACGTAAAAGAATGAAATGCAAAAATATGGAATAATTAGCTATAGTCGAGATTCTGGAAATTATTGATAATTAACTTATTTTTAATTTATCAACAAATTTTAAAGTTAATAGAACACTGAAATCAGTTTGAATAACGCAATGCCAAGTAAAAGCAACTTGAATTGTTGGTATTCATACAGAATCATTAAATGACATGTGATGATTTTAAAATAGAAAAAAAAAAAAAATAAAATATCAGCGAGATTTAATGGTTTGTCATTTATTAAAATTAAGAGAGCAAAATTTTGATATCAGTCTATTAAACTATTTTTTAATATTAATATTTGCATTCAAATTTAATATGAATTTAACCTTTACTGTCTCCTCTAAATTCTCTAATCTTTCAAATAATTTTAAAATAATAATTTAAGAGATATACTTATGCTTGGTGGTAATGCGATAGATGCGACCGTGGCGGCATTGGTATGCATTGGTGTTGTAAATCCTCAAAGTTCTGGTTTAGGTGGTGGATTTCTTATGACTATATACAATAGGTTAGTTTTAAAGTTTGAGTAGTTTGTTACCATTTTTCTATTTTGTTTACAGTTTCCTTGTTTGTCATCTGTTTATCAATTTTACTTGTTTAAAGCAATTATTTTCGTTGCTTTTTCGGCTAACATTTTTGTTAGATTATCTGTCCGATAATATATAATTTTGCCTTCTAAATTTTATTTTTGATTTATCAAAATGTTTGTTTACTTATTTGACAATTATTCCTTAATTATTTTACTATGCCAATTACTTATTGTTTGCTCATTTATTCGATTCTCTTCTGCATAATTTATTTCATTTTAAATATAATTCTTATTCTGTTATTAGTCAATTTCTTCGTGTAAATTTTTTTTTACTTACCATTTGTTTGTTAACCATTTCTTTCACTTATTATTTGCTTTTTATTTGTATTTATTTGTTTACTTCCTTTTTATCATTCTTTCTTTATCTATCGCCTGTCTTATCTGATTAGAAAACTGTTTAATTAACAGTTTACCTTATGAATATATTATTCCAATAATTTTTAGCTGAAATCTTTAAATAACTCTAAGGCATTTTTCATTCCTAAGTTTTTTTTTTTTTTCAAAAGTCATTTTAACAAGCGAAATAGTTATCAATAATTGTAGCACTTCAAATCAATGTATAGTTGTTAACGCACGTGAAACAGCACCAGCAATAGCAAATGAAACAATGTTCGATGATTCACCGGAAGATGCTTTAAAAGGTTACTGAAATTGTTTCATTGAAATTTGTGCTACTTTTTCTAGATAGAGTAAATTGACATATATGTAAAGAAAGAATAATCTTACATATAATTCCATCATAATTTTGTTAATAAGTAATTTTGTTTACGTTAGTTTTTATACTTAAATTTTTATACAAATTGTTAAAGTTCAAAATTATTCTTTAAATTTGAAAAAAAAGTTCATTATAATGTTTAGGATACCGAGCTATTGCAACACCATCCGAATTACACGGATTATGGACGGTATTTTCACTTTTTGGAAGTGGTAAAGTATCGTGGTATAGATTATTTCAACCATCCATTGAATTAGCCTTAGAAGGTTTTCCGGTTTCGGCGGCTTTAGCACAAGAACTTGCTAAAATAGAAGAAACGATATTGACCGAACCATCACTCAAGTAAATTTTATCTTTTTTTTATTTTTTATTTTTTTTTTTTTTTTTTAGTGATTGAATCATTTCGTTTTTTAACGGAATTGTTATTAAATTTAAAAAAAAAAAAAAATGGTGGGAAAAGAAGATAAATGGTAATTAATTACAAAGCTAACTTTACCCTTTTCTCTTGCATCACTGATAGATTTAATAATTAAGTATTATAATTTAACAATATGGTGTAGTAAATAAAATTTCCATTGTCTTAAAGAAAAATAAGTAAGACTGGAAAATCAAAAAGTTAATCATCCGTTTCAGGAAAGTATTTGTGAATCCAAAAACTAGAAAGGTTTATGAAGAGGGTGATATCATTACGAGGGATCATTTGGGCGCTACTTTACAGCACATTGCAAATAGCTCTGATCCATTGCAACTTTTTTACCGCGGTAATTACTTTCTATTTATTTTCTTTTTCCAGCAATTTTATTTATTTAATATCTTTCCAACGTGAATCTATGAGTTACAATATGCAAATATTATTAAGTATTCATGAAATTATTATTATTATTTTGGTAAAAAAAAAATTTTGATTTGTGACAGAATTTAAATTCAATTTTTCATTACACTAATTTGACAAATGAAAGAAAATTCAACAGAAAATATAAAAAATGATTGAGTAATGAAGTGCATAAAGAAATTATTTTGTTTACTGATTTTCTACACATTCCTTGAATTCTCCTAAAAAAGTGTATCGAGGTGTATTGTAATGTAACAGGTTTCTTCAATTTTTTAAAAATTCTTAGCTTTAAATGCTGATTAGAAGAGATTAGTTCTAATTCAGTGATTAAACTTTCATCAATAAATACGTCATGCTGAAGTAATCAGACAAAATCTAGAAATGAATTAAATATGATCACGTATATAAGTTAGTATTTACTAATTAAATATGAGTAAGTAGCAAAAATATGGAAAAGCTGATAATAATTAGAAGTAAACTGCCTTATGTTAAATGATCGTATACGTTTTTCACGTAAAAGATTTATGTTTTTTAGCGTATGGCATTTTTAGGCATTTTTAGTAACACAAAGTAATTTTACCTAATATTGTGGGATATATCCGGATAGTCACGATAGAATAATACATTCGGAAAGTTTTGCCGGGCATGAACAGTTTTGTTTGACAGCTTGTTTTTGTAACATATAGATTAAATTTAATTCTAAATTTATGATATTTTAAGGTGGCATTGCGCAAACAATTGCTGCTGAAATTGAAGAACGTGGTAAGATTTAGTATTCTTTACGATTAGGAATCCGGAATTGTGACATGCAACAAGGCTAAATTGCACATCGAACTTAATTTGTTGCATGAATCTTTCAAATCAAATCTGAGATCGATATCTTTCTGGATGATACACTCCGGTTATATTATTCCGTTTGACGTGACAATTATATTTTATGTTAAAGTAAGAAATACATTTCTGTCGTAATTAATAATTCGATCGTTTATTTGTATTATTTCTTTTTCAGGTGGTTATATATCCACGGATGACTTAAGTAATTACAAAACAAAATTAAATGAAAGTCCAATTATCACTGAACATTTCCTTGGTGATTATGCAATGTGTGGACCGCCACCACCAAGTTCAGCTGCTATCACCCAAAGTATCATATCAATTATGGCTGGTAAACATATTTGATAACATTTCTCTTTTGTTACTAATTAGTTCAGAATATATAAATTTCAATATTATTAGTGAGTTTTCTGAGTTTTCTTTTTAAAAAATTAAAGTTTATCGAACTTTTTATTTATTAAAATCAAATGAGTAAATTGGTTTGAAAATGAACCAACCAGTACATATTACTTCCGTTTTAATTAATCTTCTAGAAAAATGAAATTGTTTGATCAATAAGTCACATTAGACTCGTCCATAGCTTGATGATATTTTTTTCAGAATTTTATGATGGAAAAAATGAATTCGATAAAGATGATCCATTATTCTATCATCGCTTAATTGAAGTGCAAAAGTTTGCTTATGCTCAAAGGACAAAACTTGGTGATGCTGCATTTGTACCGGAAGCTCTGCAAATTGCAGAAGAGATAATTAAAAAGTGAATTAGTTAAGTCAATTTTGAGGAAAAAATTGCAAATGATTCTTCATTCTTTCTTTTATGTATTCGCATCGATTTTATTATTATTCAGTATTATTAATAATTTATATCATTGTGATTGTTATAATTGCTAATAATATTAATTTTTTATTCGCTTTAAATATTTTACCTTAGCTTTAATAATATAGAAATTATTTCATTTAATTTCATTATTGCTTCATTTATTACAAATCAGTTATTTATATATCTTTTAATTTCACTAATGAAATTGAAAATTTTTTTTTTTCATTTACACTTTTCAGTTCTTATGTGAAGCATATCAAATCTCTTGTGAAGAATACATCTCAGCCATTGGATGCATATGGAACTGATCTATTTCAACAGATGGATGATCACGGCACATCACATGTATCAGCGATCGATCGGACTAGTAATATCGCAGTATCATGCACCAGTACTGTTAATCGCATGTAATGTTACTTTTTATTAATCTGAGTGATATACGAAATTATTATGTTCCAGTTTATGCATTTTTCATACTGCAGATATGGCGATAAGTAAGTAAGGTCAGAGGGCATTTTTTCTTGACGCTTTTGAAGTGGAAGGATGCAAAGTGTTAAATTTCAGTCCTTTTTTAGCAATGAAATTCTACTAATTAAAATGGAGTCCGAAGATTTTCACCACTAGAAACAAGAGTGAATTTTTATTACAATACAGACTGGGATCACTGCGCATCTCACCAACGCTTGGAATTGTTTGGAATGATGAAATGGATGATTTCTCGATTCCTAAACAATCAAATTCTTTTGGATTTCCGTCTTCACCGGCAAACTATATTAGACCCGGAAAAAGACCGTTAAGCAGCATGTCACCTATGATTATTTACAATAAGAATACAGGAAAGGTAAAAGATTACAGAAGATTGATGAGTAAATTTATGATTTAAATATTAAGTGTTATTTGAATTTTTTCTTTTTTGACATCATTTATTGCGATTAATGTAAAAGTGTGATAAGATAGGTAAATATGTTTTTGGAGATAAATTTTAGATAAGTTATAAAAAAAATTAAATTTGGATTGCTTCAGCTGAAATATTTAAACTTGCCAAATTTGAATTCAATAGATTTAATCTAACGTTTAATATTTAATAATGTGATTCTTTTTATAGTGCTATTCATTTATACTTAGTGTGACAATTTGCTAATTGTTAATGCCATCAATAGAGTATTCCATTTCGACAATTGTATAATTTAATAAATCTTAGTAGTAACTGATACTTTAAATAACTTAATTAATTGGTATAACTAGTGTTTATGTATTTTAAGGTGAAAATGGTCATTGGTGCTTCTGGTGGTTCGTATATTATTTCAGCGATAGCACAAACTGTTATACGTACTCTTATTTTTAATGAAACGATTAAAGAAGCTGTTGATTCGCCACGTTTTCATAATCAATTTTTGCCCCCAGAGACTTTATACGAAGCTTCGATACCTCAGGTAATTTTCTTTTTTCTTTTCATTTCTTTGCTATTACTCTATTAATTAATTCATTTGCACCAAATCAACAAATTATGGCCAATTTGGACAATGAATAAAATCAAAATATGACAGTCCTTTTACTATTGTACTATATTATTAGCATAAATTACTAATAAATTATGAAATTTAGGAAATTATAACGAATCTGGCTAATGAACGAAATCAAAATATGACAAAAATTTCAAAATTAAAAAGTGTTGTACAAGCATTTGTAGTAAATACGGATGATTACATTTATGGAAATAGCGATTTTCGACGGGAAACAGGAAGTTTTCCGGCTGGATTTTAATAACATAACAAATATTTCGTTTTTTTTTGCCGTTAGATTTTAAAATTGTTCAAAAAATTCATTGCATATATCTAATAGCTTCTTGGAGATGAATAATTTTTAATTTATTCATATACGTGTAAATTAAATAGAAATGAAAATATATATAACTGTGAAATTTTATTTAGGGCTTATTTTTTACGTGTATTACCACTTATATGTACTTATTTACAGTATTTTCCCCATTTCTTCGCCTTCAATTACAATAAGTATTAATCGGTTACCGTTAAAATATACATAAGTTATTGCGCAAATTTAACACTCAGTGACTTCAAACTTATTATTGGTAAACTGTGTCACTTTGTGTATAAAATTTTCTTCCAGGAAATTTAAAAATAGCAAATTACTTAGTTGTTTTACTACATTGACATTTATAGAGCTTTATTTTTATGGTACTTTTGTGAATGACATAATGCAATTTCAGCCTTATCATTTTATAATGAAATGTATCTTTTTTTTTTTTGATTTTCGTTATCACTACTAGTTATTAGAACAGTTTTAGTTCATATTATTCCAAGCAGTAAGTAAATTAAATAGAATGAATTATTTTTTTTTTTTATAAACATTCACTTGTGGATCATTTTTGAAGGTACATCAGTATTAAAACTACTATTAATCTTCTTGCATTTGCAAAATGATTGGAAAAGATAAGAAATTCTTGAATGATTTTCGATTTATTTTCAGTTCTCATTCAATTCTAGTTTTTTAGAAAATAAAGAAACTTTTACACTAATTCAATTTTTAATTAAAATAGTTGGTATCAGTTTACTATGCTTCCTATTAATATATAAAATAAACAGTACATAAAATATTGTGATTGATTCAGCATTACTATGACATTTCTTGACAAGAAGAGATAGGATATCTCACTCTGTGTCGTGCAGACTTAATAAACGTCAATATTCGGAATATCCCTTTTGTCATGGGGAGGAACACACGTACACTTGTGAGGTTGCGAGTTTTGTGGAAGTGATGTATGCCTCCGGGTGATTTTTTGTGCCAAATAGGTTTCATTCGAAAAGTTAGATAAAATACGCCTAAAAATGCGTCGGATTGGGTTCATTACTCTTGGGACAATCATTCTAGGAGAATAACTCTGATTTCAAGCAAAAATTGAAAAGTTTGAAAATCATTTGTGCATTTTGTGTATTGAGGCTCATCACAAGGAACGTAACGATCAATCAGTACATGGCAGTATTGAATGACACTTCGTTCGAAAATACGTCATGCCAGAAGAAGTGCAAACTGACACTATCGAATCGCATTTGTCCGATAAAGGAGTGCTGACAATCTGCGCCACCAAAACAATGATCGGCTCACTGCAGCACGAAGTACCTCTATTCGAGCATCTCCAAAGGAACCGGAAGTAAGTGAGAAATCGGCGTCAAAAAGTAATTCTTATGCCATTTTGTATATTTTCATTGTATATAAAATGAGAAAATGTTTCAGGAATAAATTTTGATGATGTAATCACTCACTCATTTGTTCCTATGAACTGCAACAACTCTTTCCGTTAGCTGTAATTACTATTCATCCATTTCATTTACTGGTCTATCAGTTTTTCTCGGTCGAAGACATCCTTCATTCAAATCAACTTGGATTGGGATTTCATCTTCACCTTTTCATTCATGGATATTTCTTAATAATGAATTTAACTTTAGGAAGTTCTTTTTGTCGAACGTTCTCTTCTTCTGTACAGGAACTGGTCATATACGGTGTGCCATTTGACAGCTTAAATAATAAAACAAACTTTAATAATTAAGTTTTTTAACAATATTTCAGTAGCGAAATTAATAAAGTTTTTAATTAGTCATAGTTTTAGATCATTTTTACAATTATAAACTAATTTTTATTTCAAATTTAAATATGGATATTTATAAAAATCCTACAATTTGTAAGCGTTTTTGCACATTAACCTAAGAAATAAACCCTAGTGTAATCAAATTACATTTTAATTAAGTGCTAAAACTTTTAAGGAATAGCAGATCATTTAAAAAAATAGGTAATAAGAACTTAGTTGATTATTTTATAGATGGAAAAGCTTACCTTTTTTCTCTCTCTCCAGAAAGTTGAAAAAAGCAAGCTGCTCAAATTATAATTAAGTAAAATGATGCATATTGACATGCATATTACATTTATCACAATTTATTTGATCCAAACAAATAACACACCGATCAAAGAGCAATGATAAAAAATAAACAATGAGTGAGACACATTAGGTGAATTGTCGATATTCAAATTATTTATTTCTATTCCTATACAAGACATTTAGGCTAGAAAATCATTGGACGATTCTATGATGTTATCGTCCACTAAGCTTAAACGTCGTTTTAATGGTACAAAATGGTGTGTACTTATTGTACTAATTGTCATATCACCAACAAAAAGACTGCAGCCATAACCAACCATTTGTGGATTTATATGTCCACTAATTTCTATATCTGCCCTGAACAGTGTCAAGGTTAAATTAATTAATTAGAAATTATGAAAGCTCTTTTTCATGATTTCTAATTGCATTAACTGTCCCATAGTTAATTTTTATCTTTTGAATATCACCAAAATAATTTTGTAAAACTGAGTACAAAATTTTAGGCAAAAGCTTCATAGGTATTTACCTGTATCCATGATACCATCTTTTGGTGATAAATTTGAGTGATGGATGCTCTAAGATCATTTTATGATGCGTTGTTTTCGGATCAATTTCTAATTTCATGACTACATCATCAATCTGGAAATCACTATCACTGCATGGTATTTATTACACACAATTATTTTAATGGTGTTACTGTATTTCAAATATTATATTCGTTAAAAATCATATTATATATGCAGTAGAGATATGATAGAATATGTTTTTCGGTAATTTTGAAAGAAAATATGATGATTATTATTCATTAAATAAACATGCTCTTTTAAAATATTCAAAAAATAAGAGGAAATGGAAAAGAACTTTAAAATTATGGTTGGTTTCACCATCTATCACATCAAAATTGGTCGATAGGAGTGTTGTTGATTGTTGTTTATCGTCTGGAACAACGCAACCACATAATGAAAAGCATTTGTCATTTTTATCAATTAGTACACCCTAAAATGATTGTATTCATTCATAATATCGTTTTCATATAGTACGAATCGTAATGCAAAATGTGTATAATCGAAATACTATTGATAAAGTTATATTGATAAAGAAATATTAAGGTAAAGTTATAAATGTTGCGAACATGTAAATAAAATATTTATTTCTTCAATACTTTTGACTATTCCGAATTAAATTTAATTCTAAATGTAAAATATATGCATGTAGAGATATGACAGAATATGTTTTTCTGAAAAATAAGAAATGATATTACTAATTTTTGACTGCTGAATTAATTAAACGTTTGGTGAGACAAAAAAATTGCTGAACAAATGCATCAAAAACTTCTTTTAACAAATTTCAGTTCTTTCAATTATAGCTATATCTGCCGGAAGAATCCATGCTGAATGGCGGCTGGATGTGCGCAACAATTAACGTGGAATACGATTCCAACTAAATATCTGAGAAATGGACAAAAAAAGTGAAATTAGTTTGACACTGATTTGGATTACTGTCATAACTAAAGTTGTAGTTTTATCGCAATGAACTATGCTTGTTGTAGCTTTTAAAAAGTATCATTTTTAAATAAAAAAAATAAGTACTTGAAGAAGAATAAATTACTTCCTTTGGAATAGAAAAGAGGGCAGTTAAGCAGGTAAGGGCCAATGTTAATCTAAAATGTAAAGCGAAACAGAAATTAAAAAGACAACAAAAGTCATTTTTAATCATCGATAATATAATATCATCAATTTTGAGATAAATTTTTAACTGAAATAAAAAAATTGCTGGATTTGTTTTATATTTCATTCAAAGAATATATTTTCTACGATATTATCGTTATAATGCATCTTTAATTAATTAATTAAAATTGTTAATTCATTTACGTATTGTTTTTCCTATTTGTTAACAACTTTCTTTTTTCCGTTGAAAAACTCTGATGGACAGTGTCTGCGGTAATGTTTTCTTTCGCTGAACTGATAAAGTTAATAATATTGTGATAAGAAAAGGTAATAACTTAGCAATATTAATGGAAGGAAATCAAAATGACAACTTTGTATGACATTATTTGCATTCCTATCAGTAATATTTCCATTGTTATTTAAGAACTTTTAAAAATTTTTTGATTTTTTTTTTTAAATAAATATTCGAAAAAGCATTTATGCACTTCTTTGTTACTAATTGCATCATCCCATTATTCATTTCGGATTAGCAGTCCAGAAATGAAGGAATGGAAGAATCATAAACAAACACACCACGGCATTTCTAATTTTTTTTTTTTTTTTGCAAAAATATTTCAATTTCTTCAGCGTTCCTTAAAAAAAAAAAAAAAATGATTATAACCATTTCTGTGTTATTATACTGAATTAGGAACGGAATTAGAAAAGCCTGATAAAAAGTAAAAGGATGAAAATTTTCACTTGTAATTTCATTGCTTTATCATCGAATACAATCCGTGCAACACCGATAATATCTGCTTCATAAATAACACTAGCTGAGGTTTTGCGTTGAAATTTTCTGAAATGTTTCAAAAACTTTTATAAATTGCATAAATTTTTAATTTAATTTAGATTTAGCTAAATAACAAGCATAGTAGGCAAGTGATGCACAACAGAAAATATCACTGAAACAAGCAACTACAAATGAAAGCAATTACAGTTCATGGGTACAGTGAAGGAAAGACACAAAATTTATCAAAAGTCAAATTGACCAAAAAATTCAAACTAAATTGGATTTTGATTTAAAAGCAGCATTTTAAATCTTTAATAAATTAAAGAAAGGAATATACATGCCTAAGCATAACTGTTCCGCACTCGATAATGATGATCGGATAAACTTTGGGAAATTTTTGCTTTTCTTCTTTTTTCTCTTCCTCCTAAAAATGAAGACGTTTTTCTTTTTTTGCTCATGAACGTACTATATAGGATAGAATTTTATCAAAGGTATCCATTCGTCTGATAACACTGACAACAGCAGCTGATCTTTTCTTTATCATTGAGCAAAATCCTCAATTTTATACTTATTCCCATCCTCTAATTTTTCCCATTTTTTTTGCGGAAAATGTTTTCTTTTTTTCAAATCATGTATCATTTAAAAGAAGTTTGGTTGCAAATAGAAGAATGATAGCTTGATACTGTTGTTTTCACCTGCTTGCATCTCTTAAATAAGCCATCACATTTACGAACATTTTAAAATTTCTTTGAAAGGTGATCAAATTTTGTAGTTACTACTACTATTACTACTAAATGGGAATGAAATTATGAAAGAAATGAAAAAAAAAAAAGAAAAGACTACAAAAGTAGGTAAAAAGGATAGTGTTTGACAGGTAAAAGAGGAACAAAGAGAAAGATGAAAGAAAAGCTAGGAAGAGAAGCAACAACATACTAATCAACTTTGCCTCAAATATTTCATTCAGCATACAGCTGCCTCGGATCTTGTGTTGTAACTTTTAGCTGAAACATTTGCAGTAAACAATTCTTTTAAACTTCCACATATCATTTATTAATGCTAACAATGGTTCTTGTCTTCACATACATTATTTTATTTACTTTTTTTCTTTTGGAAGAAGAAAAATGATGAATGAATTCCTTTTCTTCTTCATTAGACCCAATGGAATATATTACAGTGAATAAGTTCCATCATTTAAATGAAGCACGAGAAATGGTTGGTTGGTTTGATTCAAAACCAATTTAATTAACAAATAAAAGGGAAAAGGGTAAACAAGTATATTACTGAAGAAAGCTAATTTAACTAATCATTTAAATATTATAAAATAGAAAGCCCATCGCACTTCAAATTAGAATTAAATTGAAAATATAATCACAGTCAGTTCTTTTCATCTTTTTACATTAATCTGTTCACATTTTAACTCTTTTTTTTCAACAATACCCAGTCTGCTGATAATCAATTTCAGTCACTGATAATTCTCTCAGTTCGAATCAAAGAAACCTCAATAACAAATCGATACTAATAGCACTTCTTCACGCCACGTCTCCACGTAGCGTAACATTGCACCTCGACCAGTACACAACCACTACCGCCTGAAGCGCAATTCCCTCAGCAAATCGTAATTAGCGTGCGAACCTATCGCTATTGCTATCAAAACGATTCACTCTTTCACTCTGCAAACTATTGAATTGTGCAATACCGCACTCTATTTCGTTGGTCTTATTAATCTCTCGCAGGCTCTTCAAAACATGTACTCTCTCCCAAATCCTTCCTTTTTTCTTCCTTTCTATTGTTTGTTGCTTGCTAAATAGAATATCTTTTAAAAATAAATTGCTAATTTTCTGTTTGATACAGTGGCTCAATTGTTTGTTAACAGTTTTGATACGGTGGAAATATTAGTGTAAATTCAGGTCAATTTCGATTTGCAAGCATTTGTATCAGTGTTTTATAATTTCAGCTTCTAGATTAAAAGAGATGTTAACTCTTCGAATTTGCACACGAATTTGCACACGATCGGATACAAGCACATGTCGTTTGCAATCAACGTTAGCTGAAAAAATGAAACAAGCTGTTTCCGGAATCAACCCTAATGATAGTGAAGAAGAACAGAAACGAATTTTGAGTGAAGAACGAGACAGTAAAGTAATAAATGTTTAATACTCGTTCTAATCTTGTTTCATCAGTTTACTTTCTTTGAATTTTTTGCTGGAATTAATTGAGAGTGAATTGGAAGAAAGCTTGTGGATTAATGTCTGACACTATAAATAATACTTAATAGTATGGCTAATCTGTCAAATTAATGATATACGTAAAAGAAGTTTCCTGTTGGGAATTGTGTTTTTAAATTTAAGCAGAGTTGGTAAGTCTTAACTATTTTCATTGCGGTATAAACAAAAATAATTGTTACATAACATTTTAATATTTTAATAGGGTGAGCCGTTTCGTCCAGTATTTTTATATCCAAAACGCAAATTACGCATGCAGTTAAACATCGAAAGGGAAACAGGCCAAATGAAAGTGCAAAGTTTACCACGTGGTGATATATTTCAACGAATGATGGTTAGTTTGTAATATGTTGCCAGAACTTACATTGTGTTTCTGTTTACTTCTGAAGTTTGAATAACAAGAATTCAACAGGTTGGTGATTTAATGCAGTGTTCTAATGAAGTACGTAGATATTGATTTGATGACAAAGTTTCGATTATATTAATTAAGCAAAGAATTATTGTGTTTGTTTTTCAATGAGATTCAATGCAGACCACCATCTTTCCAGGTTGGTGTTGAAAATTGAAGTTTTTGTTTTACTGTATATCTCTCCTAAATCTTAACATTCACCATTAGATCTTTTTTTTATGCAATATAATCGAGACCTGAATTTTAGGTTCGTCGGCCACGAAAAGAGGAAATGAGTACCGAACAAGATTGGCCAAGTGTTTGGCCAGTAGCACGTTCATTTCGATCCTCTGTGGTACCACTTCCAATTCGGATGGGTGCTAGGAGGCATCCAGAAAGGAGAGCACCTTTTAAAACGGTATTTTAATTTTTTGATGTTTTTGTTTAGTGTACTTAATAGTGTTTCTATGTGAAGGCTCGTATTAAGTATAAAACGTATTTTAGCATAAAGCCAGTTATTCACAAATGTGGTTTGTCTAAAAGCTTTTTTTTTTTTTTTTTTTTCATTTTTCCTTGAAGTTATTTCCAGGAAGGTAATTTAGAATTGGTCAAAATACCAAATTTTCTTCATCTTACTCCAGCAGCTATTGAAAGGCATTGTAATGCAATTAAAAGTTCGTTTGCTTTTACTATTAATTTTTACAAATATAAGCATAGATGTTTCATGGAGTAATAATTGTCAGTGAATGATCCATGAAATATTATCAATACCAAAGTTTTTATGAGTCCAGTATTATATTAATATGTTTTGGGATATTTGATTTTTCACTTATCAATAATTTGCACCATGTCTTATCTTAACTTTATTTTTTACATTTTAGAATTTTGTACAAAATGGCCAGAAAAATTGGATGATAATGCACGTCATAAATTTTTCCCTTTAACAGTGTCTTATTGTGATTACGTACATCAGGGTAACTCGTTACGTGACATGCGTTCACGTGTCATTATTGTTCAGCTTAAGTTATCCGCACTTTATTTGGATGATCATGCTGTTGATAAACTAATTCGATTAGTAGGCGATAGGTATAATCCTGAAAATGATATGCTAACAATTGTAACTGACAGGTAAATTTTTTAATTTTTCTCTGTAGTATTTGGTTTTTCATACCCTATTCTTATTCTTTTTTTTTTTTTTTTTTTTTTTTTTAAATCACCATGCTGTGCGAAATATTGTATTTTTTCAAAACCAATAGTCTTTCCAGTTTTCTTGACAAATGTGGAAGTACTTGCCGCTATTAAATTTTCATCCATATTGATTGCAAGCTAAAATTCATAAGTTTTAGGTGTTTTACAAGAAAACAAAACTATGATTATGCTATGTATCTTCTCATTGCTTTATATAATGAATCTTTTGTAAGTTTTCCTATTCTTATTATAGAATCTAAAATAGTTGAATTTCCTTTTGAAGTTAAATGAGTGGAGGTTTGATTAAGCAAACTTTCATGAAAACAAAGGGCAGATAAAAATGTGAGAAAATCGGAGATGAAATAAATTGGAAAAAATTGTTTCTGATAAATGTAATCTGACTGATCTACTGTTTTAAAATCTTCAACCTGCGATCTTGTAAATCTTGCAAATTAGGCTGAAAGATTAAGTAATAAACTTGATGAGCTGTTCAGAGAAAGGACTGCCTTGCTCATCATTTCTGAATCTTGCTTTAGATATCGCAAATGATGTGTAAGTTATTAGGTTTGCAGAAAGTTGAAGATTGGGAAGTAAAGAAACCCGAGGATATCCGATTAATATCACGAACAATTGATTTCAAGGGTTCCAAAATGGAAAATGACTTGCAAAATTTACTTATTAACATGAAGGAAGAAAAGGTGTTTTTCAAGATTTATTGTTTAGCTTATTGAAACTGTAATCTCTGTTGTATTCTGTCGTTTTAGAATAATCTTTTGGATGAAATAAAGCAAAGTTCATTATTTTTACTGATGTTAGCTTAACACTAATATTTTTGTATTTGATTGGAAATGATTGAGTTATTTACTACTTAGTAACAAGAAATCATGTTTGGTTTTGGTCCTATATAGCAGTTTCTATAAAGAATTCAAAATTTCATACTATTTTAGTTTCAGGGAAATGAAACAATTACGATGCAAAAAATGGACTCGAAACTGGAGGAATTTAGTAAATCATGGGAAAATTACCGAAATAGTGTAAGTATTTTTGTTGATTTACCCATAATGCTGTGAGACGAAGAGGATATGTCATGCAGTGCTAGTGAATGAATTATTATCATTTATTAAATTTGAGTTAGCGTATTTTTTCAATTTTTTCTAGTTGCTGTATATATTAATTTCAGTTGAAGTATTTTGTATTTTTATTGCAAGTTATAGCGATTGGTTCACTGAACCTTGCCATAACTGTAACCATTTAAAATAAAGGATTATAGTATAGGAATGATGACTTTTATGTGCATAAGTCTATTGATTATGCCTACGGGAGTAATGTTCAAGTTAAGGTTTTTCAGAAAGAGACATTCGAAACAGTTCGCAATTATGCAGAATCAATCAAAAAATTACTTGGAATTTCTCAATCACTGGATCAATCGGCACCATAGTCTCTTTGCTTGATTTGTTTATAGTTATACGGTTGAAATGTTATCTTCATGAACTAAGTTGTGCCTAGTTATTTTTATGTGAAAATAATGAAGAAAAATGTTAGAGTGATTACTGTTGCTGTTAGGTTACTTCCGTTAATGTGTTCATGTTATGGAATTTGTTATGAACAAGAGTCTTAGTTGTTATTATAATAATAAGTTTTTTTTTTTTTCTCTCGTTTCTAATAAATGCCAAAAATTTTAAAGGAATAAATTATGCAAACGATAAACTTGATATATTTCCTATTTTTTCCTTGTTGCAAAGTACGTGTTGGGACACAAATACTTAGTGTTTTATGCTATGTAATTTAAACGTGAATAAATGTATTTTATTGTTCATCTTGTTATTATATGCTTTAGATTAAATAATATGATGGAATTTAATTAATAGTTGCAAAGCCAAAAGTAATTCCTCTTTTTTCTTCGTTTCTAGTAATCGGTGTGCAAAAGAGTACATCTTTTTTGCAATAACAAAGTATTTTTTTTTATATCAATTCTTTGATATATTATGACTGATTTGTATGTTTGAAAAAGACTTTGGCTTGTGTAATGTTTAAGGGACTGAGAAATACTGCATGTTGCATATTCTGACCCTGAAGATTGTAGATTTTTGGTCTTGGCTTATTTCTGATTAATTTAATCTTAATGGAAAGGATGAAATTTGATATTCTAGAAATTGCCAGGAATAACTTCATTTCTTTTGTTATTTGCAATTATCACTTTCGGGCCATTAGGAAAACTTTATGTGGTATTGCATTTTTTTTTTTGCGCAGAAGATTTACATTTTATGTTACATTTTATAGTTTCTCATAATTTGCCTACTGTCTATTACGTCATTTTATTACAATGGTTAAAGCAAAGTGCATTTAATCATGAAAGGGAGGTTTTTTTTGAAATATTTTGATTTATTAAATCCGGCTTTATCGTCCAGTTTTCCGATGCTGTTTGAGTGCATAAGTGTGAGTGATTATAATGCCGTCAATAACTGAAATGAATGTCTGAGGTTGTAAGAATTAATAATCTTCAACTATTAACATTAGAATTAGGCTTCTGTAATTAAATATTAAATATTAAATTTTAAGCATAACATTAAAGTGCTATTAGAAATTATAGGAATTGCCAATATCTTAGTTGTCCAATTACTTTCTCTTTCTCTCTTTCTGGATAAAAAATGAAATAATTTTAAACAATGAGTGAGAATTTAATCCCACCCTTCTCATTTCAGAGATATTTGCTAAGTGTTTAATGTCATAAAGCATATTATTGAATATTTTAGAGCGTCTAAACTAAATTAAAAATTATCGGTTGGGAACGTTACAGAATGAAAAAGAAGAGCGAAATAACTTTTTTAACATTTGTAAAATAACATTTATAAAAGACTTTTAATTTCAGTATTAATCCTATCCTTGACAAAATTATTATTTTGAAAGTAATTGCAAAAATTGCTAAGTGCAAAATCCTTAATGTTACGCTTATATATACATAATAGTACAACATGTAGAATGCAACATCCAAAATTTTATTAAGAAACTAATAATACGTATGCCACAAGCGAATGTATAATGGAATAAGCATTTAAAAATAAATTTTTCTTATTGTGTAAAAGGAAAAATAAATAAGTTTTGGAGGCATCAAGCATTTTTCTTCTGTTGAGTTTTTGAATGGTAATTATTATGAAGCAGTGAAATGAATTATTTATTTAGGATTATAGGAAATGATAAGTTATGCTGAAACTTTTGCAAAATTGTAAGTCTCAGATTCGTAACTATCATCTTTGTGATAAATGGATCAGTCATATCATCTTTGTGATAAATGGATCAGTCATATCATCTTTGTGATAAATGGATCAGTCATATCATCTTTGTGATAAATGGATCAGTCATATCATCTTTGTGGTAAATGGATCAGTCATATCATCTTTGTGATAAATGGATCAGTCATATCATCTTTGTGATAAATGGATCAGTCATATCATCTTTGTGATGAATGGATCAGTCATATCATCTTTGTGATAAATGGATCAGTCATATCATCTTTGTGATAAATGGATCAGTCGTAATGAAAAATAATTTTTCCTTTTTTTCTTATCTCCTAAATTTGCAATATTGCATGTGACAATTGATGATAATGAAAATAAATGAAGTTAGCTAACAATTGAAATGATTAGTTATTACAAAATATTTCAGAGAAAAAATTGTAAACACGAAATTCAATTCTCGAACGAATTCTATTAAAAATAAATTTCTAAAAATTCAACAATTTCATTTCCGATAAAATGCATAACACAATGCATTTCAATTCCCTGAAATATTCGCATTCTGTAGTATGTGCTCTACTATTATCTTTTTACTAATCCACACTATCTCAATCCTTTTTAATCCTAACCGTTTCCTTTCTCTTTCTTTTCTTTCCTTTTGAAAATTTCATTTATATGTTAAATAGTACTTTCTATTTTTAACCATTTAATTATGTATGAATAAATCTATAAATCATGATTTTTTTCGACTTTCTTTATTACTTAAACTTAAAGTTTAAATAATAGAAAAACTCAAGTAAAAATTCATATTTGTTAGAATTTTATGTGTGTTAAACTAACTAACTAATTAAACGAAAAATGGGAAATCCTTTAAAAACTGCACGAAATGAACATATTTTATTGCTGATTTTAATTTCAATATCGAAGGTATAAGATGAAAACTACAATTATTTTAGTAATTATTACTAATTATACTCCCAGCATTCTTTTCAAGTAATATGACATATATTTCAATTAATATAATAACTGAAACATATTTTAGGGATAATTTGCTCAATAACAGGTTTTCATTCAATATGATAAAATATATTACTTTGTAAATACTTTTGTGGAAATTTCTAAAGTATACCATTTCATCATTCCTTTCTTCTAACTATCACAACTTTCTGTCATCTTTTCTGACATTCTCGAGATCAGTAGACAAATTTATAGTTTACAAAATTAGTATTTTTGTTCAAAGTGCAACTTACTTTCATAACCTAAGATTCACTGAATGCCAGTGATAACAACATTTTTTTGTGTCAACGAGAAAAGAGTAATGGATAATGGTAAAAAAGTAAAGGTGAAGGATAAAGGTGCAAAAAAAGAGAAAAAGCAAAAATATGGAGAAGAATTAATGTTGGGGAAAGATGCGAGGTTAACATATTGAAACTGAAGGCAGCACAACTGGGATTTCATACAAATCAAATATCACTGTTAGCAAGACAGTTTCTTATTAATCAGCAAAATTAAGAGAAAGTTGGGAATAGGAAAAGCTTTGAGGAAAAGCTATCAAGAAATGTATCGCATTTCATCGCATTGCCTGAAAGCAAAGAAAAAGTCAATGCAAAGTGAAGTGCATGACAGATCTGAAATTGCAGTAAGAAAGAAACATGGATGAAAAGTGGTGATAACATTATGTATTGTTGAAAAAATCTCTTATCAGAAGTAGACTTTGACATTGATATGGAAAAGCCTTGATCAAACGTAATGAATCGCAAAACACTAATTAAATTAATTTGCAAAAGGTTTCAATCAAAAAAAGAATGTGTGATTTCGTGTGAAAATGACTAATCCTATAATGCAAGAGAAATATTTACTTTATTGCTTTGTCTGCTCTGAAATAAATTTAAGTTTGCAGCTGGTGCTATTGATGTTCCACCGGAATTTGATTTATGGATAAGCTTCCGGTTGAAAAGTAGGAAGGTTAATCTGGAATATGAACTTCTGAGCGATATATGAAGACATGCGCTATTCGATCTGTTGAAACAAATTAAGTAATTGGTAAACTGAGGAGGGTAAAAAGGTTCCCAAACACAGTTCTGTTAGAAAGGAACTTACCCATCCATCGAATGCACTAGATTCCATATTATTGTATTTGATATGAACATTATCCACTTATCTGTGAAGAAATATGAAGAAAGGTTGAATGTAACAGCAAATGAGATATAAAGCAAACTAAGTTTGCATGACTGCAAAAGGGTAATGTGCGATTTAATTACACATTTTTAGAATTTAACTTCATGAAACTTGACAGGTAAATCACGCAACTCTCGAAAGAACACATTAGCAGGTATGGGATTTATCAACTGATTTTAACAAAAGTAATTAAAAGCTATTTGAGCTTTTCCTTCCTCTTTTCATAAACAATTTTCTTCAAAAATGCTTGAATTTCTCATGATTACCTGTTTGAAGAACAATATTTCTTTTTCATTGATAACACTAACAGTTGTTGACTCTGTCGTATTTCTTCGCATTGTCTAAAATTCGAGAAATAATCATTGCCGTGTAATTTGCATATCATATTTTGATAAAAGAAATATGCAATTAGTTCCTAAAGTATTTGCTTATCAGAAAAAATTAACTTACTCTGCGATATGCAATTATTTTGAGTAAAGTAATAAAATCAGTGCATGCCATTGCTACTATCAGAGCTACTGATACTATACCATCAATTCTGGCACATATCTGACCATGATAAGAATTGTGATGTAACCAACGATACTTCGAGCCAGAATTAAATAGAAGCGAACAGTCTTCTGCAATTTTCATGAAGGAATGACAAAGGGTTTTTGCATGTTGCAAGTTGCGCATGCTGCAAGTTACGCATGCTCTTGCAAGCAAAAGATATGATCAAATCAATTGCTTACCGTACAAATGATGGGTGCAGTAGACCATTGAGATTGTCCAAAAGATGATCGCAATTTTGAAAGTCCTCGCTTCTGACCATAACTGATTGTACCTTGTCGCATAAACGAAAGCAAAGAATCTATTGATGGCTGTTAAAAAATGCATAAGAATCGACCCAAACCATGCTCCGTTCAAAATAACACCAACTAATCGTACGGAAAACAGTTCTGGTGACGATAATATTGGAGACTTCCTCAAATGGAATTTTCCAAATAAAACAAAAAACCGGAAGAAAATTTCGTAAATAATGAGAAAT